GTCAATCAGCTTTTTTTGGTCTCATGGAAAAAAATAAGGAGACCAGCAAAAATAATCCAAATCCTTCCTTGATTCAGTGAGGTAACATAATTTAACAAAACTTTTGCATGGTAAGGAAAAGTAGTGATTTGGTACTTTGGATTCAAGAAGACAGGGCAGACTGCTGTGTATGTGGCCTCAAAATGAAAACCACGGCATCCTAAACAATCTTATTAAATGATAATTACAGTTTACTAAGGGATTACTATGTTCCAAACTCTGAGTTATTCATGGTACCCAATTTAATCCTTAGAATAGTAACCATCAAAGAACGGGAGTTCCCAATGTCTTTTCAGGGGGTCCATGAAGTCAAGACTAATAATACTAAGATGTCATTTGCTTTTGTAATTCTCATTCTGTTATGGGTTACCATGGAGTTTTCCAGAGGCTACCTGTTGTATGCTATCCTAATAGATTGAATGTAGAAGCTGATAGGAGAATATAGTTGTCATAAGCCCGATATTAAAGACATTTGCAAAAATGTAACACAATGCCACTCAACTCACAATTTTTTAAATTTGGAAACTATAATTTTTTTAAAAATAAAATATACTATTTAAGTTGTAATGTTTTTCCCCGAACATTTTATTACCAAAAATTTCAAACATGCAGAAAAACAGAATTGTAGAGAAGACATAATACCCACACCCTAGATTCTACGGTTAACATTTTGCTCTATCTACTTGTCCATCCCCTGTTCATTCATTAATCTATCTTATTTTTTTTGCTGCCAGAGCCTAATTTGAACTGCCAGCTACTATCTCTTGGGAAGGGAATTTGAGGTTATATCTCCTTTGGGCCTGTTTATATAGCATAAAGGGGAAAGACATCCCAGCAGCTGGAGGAGTCACTTGTAATGATGTTCTAAATTATTATTTTAAGTGCTGTTGAATTTGGTTTGCTAAGATTTTGTTGAGAATTTTTGCATCTATATTCATGAGGGATATTGGTCTATAGTATTCTTTTTTTGTTGTGTCCTTTCCTGATTTGGTATCAAGGTGATACTGGCTTCATAGAATGAGTTGGGGAGAATACCATCCTTCTCAATGTTGTGGAATAATTTCTGTGATGTAGGTATGAGTTCTTTGTAAATTTGGTACAATTCACGTGTGAACCCATCTGGTCTGGGACTTTTTTTTTTGTTGGAAGATTTTTAATTGCTGCTTCAATTTCCGTTCTTGATATTGGTCTGTTCAGGAATTCTATTTCTTCCTGATTGAGCCTAGGAAGGTTGTGTGTTTCTGAGAAGTTGTCCATTTCCTCCACGTTTTGTAGTTTTTGAGCATATAGGTTTTTATAGTATTCAAAGATAATGTTTTTTGTTTCCATGATATCTGTAGTGAACTCTCCTTTTTCATTTCTAATTGAGTTTATTAGAGTCCTTTCCTTTCTAGTTCTTGTCAATCTAGCAAGAGGGCTGTCAATTTTGTTTACCTTTTTGAAAAACCAACTTTTGGTTTTATTAATCTTCTGTATACTTCTTTTATTCTCAATTTCATTTATTTTGCTCTCATCTTAGTTGTGTCTTTTCTTCTGCTCGGTTTAGAATTGATTTTCTCTTCCTTTTCTAGTTCCTTGACACTGTTTATTAGTTTGCTGATTTGTGATCTTTCTGTCTTGTGGATGTGGGCATTTAGTGCTATTAGTTTTCCTCTCAGGAATGCTTTTGCTGTATCCCACAGATTTTGATAACTTGTGTCCCCGTTATCATTTAGTTTGAAGAATCTTTTGATTTCCGTCTGGCTCTCCTCCTTGACCTAATAGTCATTAAGCAGTAGATTGTTTAATTTCCATGACTTCATGAAGTGGTGAGTGTTTCTGTTGGAATTGATCTCTAATTTTATTCCACTGTGGTCTGAGAAGATACATTGTCTAATTTCTGTTTTTTTTAAATTGTTGAGATCTGATTCGTGGCTTAGGAAGTGATCAGTTTTAGAGAAAGTTCCATGAGCTGATGAGAAGAATGTATACTGGGCTTTATTTAGGTGGAATGTTCTGTAGATGTCTATCAGACCCATTTGTTCTAGAGCTCTGTTTAAGTCCATTGTTTTTTGCTTATTTTCTGCTTGGAGGATCCGTCCAGTTCAATCAGTGGGGTGTTTAAATCCCCAGCTTCTATGGCATTACTGTTTATCATGTTATTTAGATCAAACAGGGTTTGCTTTATGTATCTGGGTGCTTCTGTGTTGGGTGCATTGGGCTTTATCCTAGAGATGCAAGGATGGTTCAACATACACAAATCTGTAAATGCAATACACCGCATAAATAAAAGCAAGAACAAAGACTATGTGATTCTCTCAATAGGTGCAGAAAAAGCATTTGACAAAATCCAGTACACTTTTATGATAAAAGCTTTAACAAAATAGGCATAGATGGGTCATACCTTAAAGTTATTAAAGCCATATACGATAAATCCACAGCCAATTTCAAACTGAATGAGGAAAAATTGAAAGAATTCCTGCTTATAACTGGACCCAGAAAAGTTTTCCCACTATCTCTACTTCTATTCAACATAGTCCCTGAAGTCCTTACAGAGCAATCAGACAAGAAAGTGGAATTAAGGGTGTCCAAATGGGGGCAGAAGAGGTCAAACTCTCACTCTTTTTTTTTTTTTTTTTGAGACAGAGTCTCACTCTTTTGCCCGGGCTAGAGTGAGTGCCGTGGCGTCAGCCTAGCTCACAGCAACCTCAAACTCCTGGGCTCAAGTGATCCTTCTGCCTCAGCCTCCCGAGTAGCTGGGACTACAGGCATGCGCCACCATGCCCGGCTAATTTTTTCTATATATTTTTAGTTGGCTGATTAATTTCTTTCTAATTTTTAGTAGAGGTGGGGTCTCGCTGTTGCTCAGGCTGGTCTTGAACTCCTGAGCTCAAACAATCCGCCTGCCTCAGCTTCCCAAAGTGCTAGGATTACAGGTGTGAGCCACCGCGCCTGGCCCAAACTCTCACTCTTTGCTGATGATATGATATTATACCTAGAAAATCCCAGGGATTCAATCAAGAGACTCCTGGAGTTGATAAACGAATTCAGTAAAGTCTCAGGATACAAAATCAATGCACACAAATCAGTGACATTCATATATCCAATAACAGTCAAGCTGAAAATCAAATCAAAGACACAGCACCTTTCACAATAGCATCAAAGAAAATTAAATATTTAGGAATATATTTAACAAAGGAGGTGAGAGGCCTATATAGGGAGAACTACAAAACACTGAGAAAGGAAATTGTTGAAGATGTAAACAGATGGAAAACCCTACCATGCTCATGGATTGGCAGAATCAATATTGTTAAAATGTCCATACTACCTAAAGTGATCTACAGAATTAATGCAATCCCTATCAAAATAGCGTCACCATTCTTTACAGATCTAGAAAACCTAATTCTATGCTCCATATGGAACCAGAGAAGACTTCTTAAGCAACAAGAACAAATTAGGAGGCATCAGTTTATCAGACTTTATGTTTTACTACAAGCCCATAGTAACCAAAACAGCATGATACTGGCACAAGAACAGAGATATAGACCTTTGGAACAGGACTGAGAAGCCAGATATAAAACCATCTTCATATTATCATCTGATATTTGACAAAGAAAACAAAAATGAATACTGGTGAAAGAATCTCTATTGAATAAATGGTGCTGGGAAAACTGTATAACCACAGGCAGAAAATTGAAACTGGATCCCCACCTCTTACCTCTCACAAAAATCAACTCAAGATATATAATAGACTTAAACCTAAGGTTTTAAACCTTAAGAATTCTAGAAGAAAATGTTGAGAAAATTCTTATGGACATTGGCCTAGGGAAAGAATTTATGAAGAAGACCCCCAAAGCAATCAAAACAACAACAAAAATAAATAAATGTGACCTGATCACGTTAAAAAGCTTCTGCACAGCCAAGGAAACTATCATTAGAGTGAATAGACAACCTATAGAATGGGAGAAAATATTTGCGTGCTACATATCCAATAAAGGGCTGATAACTAGAATCTATCTAGAACTTAAAAAAATTAACAGGAAAAAATCAAACAACCCCATCAAAAAGTGGGCAAAGGATATGAACTGAAATTTTTCAAAAGAAGACAAAAGAATGGCCACCAAACATATAAAGAAGTGCTCAATGTCTTTAATCATTAGGGAAATGCAAATCAAAACCACAGTGAGATACTGGTAACTCCAGTGAGAATGGCCTTTATCAAAAAGTCCCAAAATAACAAATGCTGGCAAGGATGTGAAGAGATAAGAATACTCTTACACTGCTGGTGGGACTGCAAATTAATACAACCCCTGTGGAAAGTAATTTGGAGATATATCAAAGAACTAAAAATAGAGCTACCATTTGATCCAGCAATCTTTCTACTAGGATCTAGCCAAAGGAAAAAAAGACATTCTATAATAAAGACATCTGTACTCAAATGTTTATGGCAGTACAATTCACTATTGCTAAAATGTGGAAACAACGCAAGTGCCCATCAATATATGAGTGGATTAATAAAATGTGGTGAGTGTATATATATACACCATAGAATACTACTCTGCCATAAAAAAACAATTGTGAACTAGCACCTCTTATATTATCCTGGATAGATCTGGAGCCTATTATTCGAAGTAAAGTATCACAAGAATGGAAAAACAAGCACCACATATACTTGCCATCACATTGGTACTAACTGATCAACACTGAGGTGCTCACATGGAAGTAATATTCATCGGGTGCTGTTTAGGTGGGAGGGGGTAGTGGGGGGACATAAACTCACAAGTAATGGATGTGAAGTGCACTATGGGGGCAAGGGCACACTTGTAGCTCTGGCTTGGGCGACGTATAGTCATTATATGTAACCAAAATGTTTGTGCTCCTGTAACATTCTGAAATTTAAAAAATTATTATTTTAAAGAATAAATATATTTTTAAAATTATTAGTTTTAATGTTAATATGTCCATAACACATATAAAGAATAGTTCTGTGGGGCCCTCAATAATTTTTAGGAGTTAAAGACCAAAAACTTGAGAACTACTGCTTTGTAACAATTTTATAAGGATTGCAGTAATGCATTTAAGACCTTTCATGTAGAAGAGGCATTAATATATTGATGTGATGTAGAGACTAAATGTATTCTAAATTTATAGATCAGTGTGTTAATGAAACATTGTATTGTTCATTAGTACACAGTAGAGCTTAACTTTATTAATGTATTTATAAACCTGTATTTTAGAAAATAGGCAGTGTTTAAAGTTTAATTTGGACTCTATGGATAAACTACTCTTACTAAATAGTATGTTTAACCTCTAGAAAGGCGCCTGAGTAGTTGTGTAAAAATAAACATTATAAAGGTAAGATTATAGCTTCTTTACTAAACATAAGTGAAATGAGACTTCTCTACCTATACTTACAATTAAAGAATCAAAGAACCCAACTGATACCAAAACAATATACCTAAGTATCGAAATTAGATTTGGAGGTTAGTTATTTTAAAGGAATAACTTTGAAATTGCTTTTGTTATGTGCTGGTTGATTTTCTATATAGTCAACTATATCAGCATATGGAATCTCAGTAAGTAAAACCACTATTATATTTATATCTCAAGGTCTAGTCTACAAAAGACAAGGCTACTTTAATAGAAAAACAACCACGAATATAATAGTGGTTTTACTTATTGAGATTCCATATGCCGATATAGTTGACTGTATAGAAAACCTAATAGTCAACACATTTTAACAGATGTCTTAGAGCCATAGCTCATATTTAATAAGTAAAGAAAAATTAGGATCTTTTGTTTTCATTCTCTACGAAACTGTTGACAAATTTCGTTTTGAATATTATATCTGAATATTTGGAATGTTTTATTTTAAAAAATAATTTAAATACAGAATTATATTTAGAATTCTGAAATAATTAAAACATACATTTGATTTTTGGTAATCTAAAAATGGATATAATTTTTTTTTTTACTAGCTCACCTTTGTGGAGAGGGATGGAATCATGTTGGGGATGCTTGTCTTAGAATCAATTCCAGTAGAGAAAGCTATGACAATGCAAAACTTTATTGCTACAATCTTAGTGGAAATCTTGCTTCGCTAACAACCTCAAAAGAAGTAGAATTTGTTCTGGATGAAATACAGAAGTATACACAACAGGTAATGTCTATACTTGTTTGTATTATGGAAATATGCTATGATAATCTCTTAATTCTTAGAAATGATACATTGTTTCTGTTTTTTATTACATTACTCTTACTAATCTTGGAAATAAAAGCAGAATTGACTTTGAAAGTAAATTGGCAGAGGAACTCATTCTGTACGTGTACTTGATAAAAAAGTTTTATAAATTACTATGTTGTGTTTTGCCCAATAAATTACAGCATTACCTTACCAAGAAGTCATCTCATATGAATAAATACACTTAGAAACATGTATATAACCCTAACCCTAACCCTTTAGTTCTTTGATGCAGGCATTTATTGCTATAAGCTTGCCTCTTAAGACTGCATTTGCTAAGTCCCTTAGGTTTTGGTATGTTGTGTTTCTATTTTCATTTGTTTCATGGAACTTTAAAATTTCATTCTTAATTTCTTCTTTTACCCATTGCTACTTTAGGAATATGTTGTTTCATTTTCATGTATTTGTATCACTTTGAATGTTTCTCTAGTTTTTGATGTCTAGTTTTATTCCATTGTGGTCAGATAAGATACTTGGTATCATTACTGTTTTTGGTAGTTTTTTGAGACTTGTTTTGTCTCGTAACATATTGAAAATTTAGGAGAATGTTTTTTGGGCTGATATCAAGAATGTTTATTTTGTAGCTGTTGGTTGAAATGTTCTATAAGTGTCTGTTAGATCCATTTCTTCTAAGGTTCAGTTAAAGTCCAGTGTTCCTGTGTTAATTTGCTTACTAGATGTTCTGTCTAATGCTGAGAGTGTGGTGTTGAAACCCCCACCTTTTATTGTAATTGGGGTCTATTGCTCCCTTTATATTAATATTTGCTTTATACATCTGGGTGCTCCAGTGTTAGGTGCATATATATTTACAATTGTTATATTCTATCATTGAATTATTCTTTTATTATTATATAATATCCTTCATTGTCTCTTTTTAGATTTTTTTTTTTTTTGAGACAAGGTCTCCCTCTGTTGCCCAACCAGAGTACATTGGCATCATCAGAGCTCACTGCAGCCTCCAACTCCTGGGCTCAAGTGATTCTCCTGCCTCAGCTTTGCGATTAGCTGGGACTACAGGCACATGCCACCACGTCTGGCTAATTTTTTATTTTTTAAATGTTTTGTATAGATGGGGTATTGCCATGTTGCCCAGGCTGGTTTCAAACTCCTGGCACATACCCACCCCACTGGCTTGGGGAAATATTAGTTGCTTGGAGGCTCTAGGGCCTCTCCTGCTTAGGGGAGGCTATGTAGTGGTTTGGCTGGTTCAATAGCAGGATCACCCTCAGTAGGACTGCCAGACCATTCCTCCAGCTGGAAGTATGGTGGCAGGGGTTGGTTTCCTGCTATGTAGGACCAGAGTCACAGGCAATCCTGGGCCCAGGCTCTGTGCAGCTGCGGTTGTGGCATCAGCCACTCATCATGGCTTGGTGAAAGGAAGATGGAGCCCAGTGCTGGAGGGGTGTAGTGGCTACTGGCCCCCAGAGAAGGGAGCACTCCAAAGGTGGGTCTGGGCGCAGATGACACCATGCTATAGCAGCTTGGCTCATAGGGTGTGGGTGGAGTGTGGGTAGTGTACACTTTGTGCTTCTAATCCAGAGTAACCAGGGCAATGCAGCTGTGTGAATTCCTGGAAGCTCTCCAAACTGGGCTCAGGGCTTGCAAGGACTGTTGGGTTCTCCTGTAGTAAGGACTGTGGGGTTCTCCTGTAGTAAGGACTGTGGGTGTTTGTGGTAGCAATGGAGGCTGGTGGTGATCTTCTGCTTACTTTTGCCCCACAACAGAAAGTCCCTCCTAACTGTAGACAGATTAGATCCATGTGGGAGTAATGGGACTGCAGAGGTCTGGTGCCTCCATTCTTCCCTCTTGGACTTCCAGTCACCATAGGAATATTTCCAACCCCCTACTGCAATCTAATGTTCTCCCTTTGACACTCCACTTAAATCTGAGTTGTTTATTTGTTACCTTGGTCCTTTCTTGTGGAAGGGATGAGTGCCAGACATCTCTAGTCAGCCATATTGCTGGCATCACTCCTAAAATTTTTGTATGGACATTCAGTTCGTTGTTATTGCCAACCCTAATTTTTGTGATGTAATGTATCAGTGTGTTTATTTCTCATGAGTATCAATGATGGATAATTCTAATTTCTAATTCGAGTTTCTGTCTGTAGAGCCAAATCTCTCTCCCCCATTAGTAAAATTGATGAATTAATTATATTCTCTGGCTTTTATAAATATTCAAATAATTTGAAGTGGATATCCCAATATGGTACTTGTTGGCCTTACAACAGATTTCTTCTATGCCTGGGATTAATTGACAGGGTAAAGAAAAAAACTATAATTAAATTTGTATGAACAATTGATCCATAAAACCATTTTTTTTGTGAACTGTAGGTATTTTTATGTGAAGGATAGACCAATATTTATTAATTTAGTACACATATATTGAGCACATACACATATATGTGAATACATATATATTGAGCAAGGCAATCTACTGGTTATGACAATACAAAGATCAAAAGATGATCACTGTTCTCAAAGAGATTAGTGGAGGGAAAGACAAACACAATTATACTGAAGTGTGATAATTGCAATGATAGATGCTCACAGAGTGGAATATATGGATAGAAAATGGGCTTCTAACCAGTAATGTGGACTTAAGGAGAGTTTCCTAGAGGGATGCCTTAGCTATATTTTGATAGACTTGGAGTTGGCCAGCACATGAAGATATTTGTAAGGAGGCTAGAGAAATGCCTACATTTTTTTCTCTTAACCTGTCTGTATGAGAGCTACCAGCTTAATGGCTAGAGGATAAGATATATGTGATGACATGTAGGAGAGATCTATTACTTTTATAATGTTTTAGAGAAATATCACAAGGTATATGTGTAAGGTTTTATTTTTAGCATATGGAACATACAACATAAAATGAAATCTGCTTATATTCTTCTGATGCCAGGAGCTTCATTTCTTTAACTACAAAAAATGAGAGACAATTACCAATGAACATGTGAAAATTAGTTCTACTGAATACCTATCACTTATGACAAGCTTATTATTGGCAGATCCAAATTCTCTGAGTTTTAGAAGTACTAGTATTTGGCGTTAGAGTTCTCTTGCTTTCTTCCTTGTTTAAAACCTACTATTTTTAATTCTTACAATATAAACTTGAAATGTACTATTTCAGAAGTTACATATTCCAAGATTCTTTGTGTTGCTCATTTTTCTTGCATATTATTATTAATATAAATAATAATGATTGGACTAACAATTATTTTGGATGTGTTAAGAAGTTAGACTTGGTAGTTTGCTGACTAGCATGCTCTGTAAATGAAGAATGTTTTGTTTTATCAGAAAGCTGAGCTTTAGCAAGATTTCAAAGGTGGAAACTTCTGCAAGGTGACATTCCATTAAGCATATCTTTATATAAAATGAATTATAGCCTGAGTCACTGTAGTTGTATAAACTTAAGATAACCCTTCTTTGGCAAATAAAAATCGACAAATTCATGCACTTTAAAGAGATATCTTGGGTCAAATGATCATTTACTTATCGGAATGGCTAATGAAATGTTACAATGATTTATGGAGTGCCGTAGTAAATTTTCATAATGTAGTAATTTATCTTTCATAAGATAATGAACTGCCTGTCCAGGTCATTTACTGAGTAATACTTACTTTAAATGTTTTATCAGCAGCTTCGTTTTTCTATTTTTCTCCTCTTCCTCTCAGATTCTTATCATGATGAATTAGGGAGTAATATTTCATTTTAAATGACTTGTCTTTACTATAGATAGTTCCAGAATATAGCAGAATTGCTGTAATGTGAAACACAATTGTTAATCTGAAATGCCTATGTTGCATTGATTCTTGCTGTTATTATCAAGACCTGTAGAAATGTTATAGCTTTGTTGTTATAAAAATATTTTTCGGAATAGTATATGTAATATATGATGGTCACAATGTTAAGCAGCCATGTGTATTTTTATAATTAGAAACATTATTATTCAGTACCATCTCTGTTTCAGGCTTTCTTCTAGATGGTGGAAAATAACCATCTTTAGTTCAATAAACTTTGTTTATCAAAATTTATTGATTGCCTGCTATGTGTACAGTACTCAATGAAAATTCATAAGATATTTTAATTTTATTCAAGAAATATTTGTTCAGTGCTTACTATGTGAAGTTCATTGTATTTATACACTTTAGAAATTTCTAGGTGTATGGCTATCTTTTTTAAACTCTGTAGAACCATTTGTACAACATTATTAGAGTAAATACTAGATGTAAATATCTTATTTCTGTGTTGTAAAAGACTAAGATGGAGAAATAATTTTCTCTACCTTCTCAGTCCATAACATAAAAGAAAGAATGATCTCTAGTTTTGAAATCATTTTGCATTGTAATATAACATTGGTAGCTTAGCATCTTAGAAAATAAATATATTATCACATATATTAAAATAGAGGTGTTTATAATCTAATAGAATTTTGTAAAGATATTAACTTAGATCAAGAACATATTACTGGTTTTTGATACCATCAGATAACATTATTTAAAGTTGAGCAATGATTAAAATAAGGTATATCAATATGGAATAGATTTTGATTTCAAGCTAATTTTGAAACATTAATGAAAACATTAAGAATAGTTATGTGGCATTTGTCAACCTCTGTTAGTTAAATTTTAGGCACAAGAGTCAGATTTTATTAGCTTTCTTGATCTCTTTGTTATTGAAATTATATGACATTAATTTTTCTAAAATTCCATAGAAGTCCAAATGTAGCAGTAGATGTGTGAGAGAGGAGAGAGGCAGTTGTTATTCTCTCAGTGCTTTTGCATAGTCCTGTTATGAATTCTTCACTCAGACTCTATATACTATTGGTTGATTTTGTTTTATATTTTTACACAGTGTAGATAATGGCAATTTATCTTTAGATTCTTAACCCAATAACTGATTAGATTGATAATAGTAACAGTAATAGTAGCACCAGCAGCAATAGCAGTATGTTAAGTTTTTTAGTTATCTTGCCTCATAAGGTAGGTATTTATATCCCGATTCTCAGAAGAGGCAACTGAGGTTCACAAAGGCTAAATACATAGCCCCAATCATGTAGCTAAAGACTAAACCTATGTTTTAAAAATAGTGTTCTAGTCTACATCATTCTCTAAAACATGCTATAATTGGTAATTATCCTTGATTCTAAATGTCATTAGAAAGTTAGTTTTATGTATTTTCAAATGTAACTTTTAATGATAATGAACTATTTGCTAAGTAATATGATATAAAATACTTTTACATCTAACTTTTTTTCAATGCCCCTTTTCCTCTTGTTTACAGAAAGTATCACCTTGGGTAGGCTTGCGCAAGATCAATATATCCTATTGGGGATGGGAAGACATGTCTCCTTTTACAAACACAACACTACAGTGGCTTCCTGGTGAACCAAATGATTCTGGGTTCTGTGCATATCTAGAAAAGGCTACAGTGGCGGGCTTGAAAGCTAATCCTTGTACCTCTATGGCAAATGGGCTTATCTGCGAAAAACCTGTTGGTAAGTAGTCTAGAAAATTAGCATTTCTTTAAAAATATGTTCCCAACCCCTCTTTTCACTACGTCTTTCTAGGGTACAGTCTCATATTTATGTAAATTTCATTTTTATCCATATTCCCCACTTACTATTAGTGATCTCAGCATTAACTTGTAAAATAACAAACTTTTGTTGTTTTACACAATCTTTATTTCTTGGTTGAAATAGTGAGATTATGAACATATGATTGTAGTTACAGTATAGCAACAATTTTTTCTTAATTCACTAATAACTTTTACTTTTATCATAATAGTATTAGAAAGATTTGTCTTTAAGATTAATGATTGAAGCTGATTTTAATCTTTTAGATCTATTATTTGAGTTGTCACATAAAAAGAAACATTTCTGCTACATCTTTTGAAATGGATTTTCATTAGGTGAGAAAGGAATATTGAATTCTTTTCTCTTTGAATATTGTATTTTTTATTGTGGTAAATATACATAACATAAAGTTTACCATGTTAAGTGTATAGTTCAGTGGCATTAACTACATTCACACTGTTGTGCAGCCATCACCACCATCTGTCTCTAGAGCTTTCTTCATTTTGCAAAATAAAAACTGTACATATTAAATAATAACACATCATTCCCTTTCTCCCAGCTCCTGGCAGCTATCATTCTATTTCCTCTCTATGAATTTGACTACTCTATGTACCTTACATAGTAGAATCATATAGTATATGTCCTTTTGTGACTGGCTTATTCCCTTAGTGTAATGTATTCAAGTTTATCCGTGTTGTAGTATGTGTCAAAATTTCCTTCCTCTTTAAGGCTGAATAATATTCCATTGTGTGTTTATGTCATATTTTATCTATTTATCCATCAGTGGACACTTGGGTTGCTTCTGTCTTTTGGCTGCTATGAATGTGGGTATACAAATATCTGTTCAAATTCATGCTTTCACTTATTTGGGGTACATAGCCAGAAGTGGAATTGCTAAGTCATATGGTAATTCTGTGTTTAATTTTTTTGAGAAATCACCATACCGTTTTCCTCAGAGGCTCCACCATTTTACATTTCTACCAGCAATGCACAAAGGTTCCAATTTCTCCACATCCTTTTCAGCACTGATTGCCTTTTATTTTTAAATAATAGCCATCCTAATGGGTGTGATAAATATTGTATTTCATATAAATATTTTATGATAAGTTGTATTTTTTTTATATCAGAGACACGTTTACTCATAGGACTTTGATAAGATGTGGAAGATTTGTGGAAAAAATTGTGGCTGGGAAAGTAAATTGTGCTAATGTACATAGTATTCAGCTAATGGATAGAAAAACCAGATCACAGATTACATTAATATTAATAATTTTTAAAATCATATAACTTTATATGCTTTGTAAAGGATTAAAATTTCAAGGGAAGTTAAAATTTTCAAATTTAATAACTTTAAAAAATAAGACATGTCATCTTTATTTTCATTTACCTCATCATGTTATAATGCCAAACTTGGCTTAATTGAAGCATTCCCTAAACAGCAAAACAAACAAACCCATATACTTGCATTAAAATGAAGTTAACAAATGAAATAATTATATTTGTTGATTTATTCCAGTTAGTCCAAATCAAAATGCAAGGCCATGCAAGAAGCCATGCTCTCTAAGGACATCCTGTTCCAATTGTACAAGCAACGGCATGGAGTGTATGTGGTGCAGCAGTACGAAACGATGTGTTGACTCGAATGCTTATATAATCTCTTTTCCATATGGACAGTGTCTAGAGTGGCAAACTGCCACCTGCTCTCGTAAGTATTTACCTGGAGTGACTTTTCATTTAACAGCAACGTAAATCACTTTTCTGTAATGGAAAAAGGAATTAAACATTTGAGGAAGTTTCTAAAAGTGAAAAGCAATATTGCTATAGCCAGTTTTAAAACCCGTAAGTACTATTAGCCTCTGGTATATATTATATCATCATTTTGAATTCCACTAAGTATCTTGCCCTAAATATACTCCAAATTGTGCTCTCCCTTCCCCTGAACGCTGAGTGTATGTGCAGACAGCAGAACACTTCATGATACTGTTTACCTCAAGGATCACATATTGCTTTTCTGGGTCTCTCTAGTGTCTTTTAATCTAGTACAGTTCCCCTGTCTTTTTCTTGCATGACTTTGATATTTTTAAAGAATCTATACCAGTTGTTCTGCAGGTATCTCCATTTGGATTTATCTGTTTTCCTCATGATTAGATTCAAGTAATCATTTTTTGGCAAGAATATCTTATCGTTGATATATCTGCTACAAGTGTAGGATACAGTCTTGGCATCACCTGGAGAGTCATGTCAGCGGGGTAGTACTGGACTTGCCATGGGTTGCATTTCAGGAGAAAGAGCTTGCCCGTTGCTGGTCTCATGTTTTATGAGGGCTGTAGGATGAGGATGCACCTAAATCTTTGATATTGTGTACTATGTGGTTGTGAGAGCGTCCTTGCTTGCAAAGACAACTTGCTTCAGAATGTAGCTGCCAAGGGAATTGCATAATGCTACTGATATCACTTGGTGGCTGTGTAGGAAGTTGAGACCATTTGAAGTTCCTTCTGCTTGGGAGGAGAAGGTACTGGTCTCAGCTAGCTTCTCACGAGCAGAGAATATGGCTTATCTTTCCACATTCCATTCTCTGACACTGAGGCTTGTCAAAAATACACTTTTTCATCAGGGACCTGAATTAATTGGTCTGTTTATATTTGGAAAAAGAAAGTACAATGTTATTTAGTCCTGCTGCTCCCACCACCTGCTTCTAAATGTCGAGTGCATTCATTCATGTCCCACTCATTGGGGGCTCTCTCTCTTGTGATTGATCCAGAGTGTCTGTTTCTTTTTTTTTTTTTTTTTGGAATAACACGCTTTTCAGGGCCTCAAAAGTTAGCATTCCACCACCACAGTTAGCTGTAGAATCACCTGAGATAAAGTTGGTGTCCAAGTTTATGTGTATCCAAGATTCTTTGATTTGAATAAAACAAAATATCCATTCACTGGTTTAAGTCTGAACAGAAACAGGTAAAATGAGATGTTTTGTTCTCCTTAAATTCCTCACTTCTCAACACCTGAGCATTTGGCAAGTTCACCAGTGACCAAAAGTCCTTAGTTTTTTATTTGTATTTTTTCTCCCAATACTTTAACCTGCAACAAGCAGGTTTTGAAATGAGTAAATCTGATTTACATGTCAGTGTGTTTGTGCCAGGCCCCAAAGAAACTGCAGTTGCAATTCAAAGGAGACAAAATAGCAGTCACTTAGAGTCCAGCATCTATTAAAGTCATGCGTGTATTGTGGTTGAAAGGTGTTCAGCTGGACAGGGGAAAGGACAGTTTCAATCTCTTACGGAAATTCTCTCTAGGGGATCTTTATCCCAATTCTAATTCCTTTCTACTAACAATACCCCTAAGCTCTCCACTATTATTATCTCTCCTCTTATCCCATCTTTGCAACTTTTTTAGGTTCATTCAAATTTTTTTTTTTCTTTTACATCAGTCAGGCTTCCCTCTGTTTCATTGTCTCCAGGAAGCAGCTGCTTGGAGTTTTCCTAGTTCAGTCCATAATACAGCTTGCTGCCGTAACTTTCCTAAGTATCTTCAGGACTTTTTTTTTTTTTCTTGTTTAAGGATATACAGAAGTAAAAGTTTATTTATTTCTCTGAGAAAGAAAGAAAGAGAGAGAATGAAAGGGAGAAAGAGAGAGTGAGTGGCAACGGCATATGAAGGGAGGTCTTCAGGACTTTCTTATTAGACCATTGGCTTTCTTGCATTCCCTCTACAGAAGCAGCCCCTGGCAACATGACTGTGATGAAGTACAAATAACTACTCCAGCAGCAATGTGTGTTATCTGCCCATCCACTCTTCCTTCCCTCCTTCTCTTTAGCTTTCTTGTTTTTCCTCTGAGAGGCAAGCTGTTCCAGTTAGCAATCAGTAACTTCATAATTCTGAGATCTCTTCTGGGGGTGAATCTATTCTTTTGAGTCCTGTAAGTGTTCTGCTTGCTCCTGGGATCCAATGGCCTTCAGACAACATGGTCACCCAGTTGCTATTAGTCTTTCTTGCTCAGATGAGTGGCCTTCCCATTAGAGGTAACCAGTTTCTTAAGGCTGTGCAGGTGGAGACTCACTGGCTTTTCCAGGCATTTCAAGGAGGATGTCTCCCTCCCCTAGGAATCCAGTCAAACACATATTTGGTCCATAGTGGGCACCACTGTTGTTTGAAGAGCTGAGACAATGTGACCAGAAGTTCCAGCTATAGCTGTTGTGTGCATTTTTTCCTCTAGGCTCTTGGCAACAAGTGGAGGTGTAGGCCTGGCATGGGCATGGCTGGATATGTTACAGATTCAGATCCTGGTTGCTGTCCCTTTTTAGGGATAAGGAATGGGGATGTACCTGACCAAGTGTGCTGCAGTGGGTGGTTGCAGGCATAAAGTGGCCTTGTTAGCACAGCAAACATTTTATAACTATGAGCCAGCTGCCAAGGAGAATTGATTACCAGAGGTGGAGACTTGTGTGGAGCTGAGAGAGTGCCCAGCCTCTTGTGCCTCAATAGTCATGTTTGTCTCTCCACAAACATTCATATTCAGCGAAAGAAGCCAGACACAAAAAGGTTACATACTGTTTGGATCCATTTAGATAGAATTTGAAAATAGGCAAAACTACACTATATTGTTTAGGAATGCATATTTAGGTGGTAAAGCTATAGAGTGAAGGCAGAAAGTTATTCTCATAAATGTTAGATAGTGGACACTGGTGGGGAGTTTGGGGGTACTGGTTAGGAAACAGTACAAGGGGGGTAATGCTTCACTTCTCAACTATATGTAAGTTCAGAGTGTTTATTTACAATGATTTATTAATCTCATATTTTTCTTTAATTCTCTGTATGTGTGCTATATTTCACAATAAAAAGGCTAAAAAGTAATGAAAAAGGAGTTTCTGAAAGTCTCTAAGCTCTTATAATCTTAAGAACTTTCTAAAAATTATTTACAATTAAATCTAAGTTATCATCTCTGCTCACAAATCTTTCTTATATCTAATTTCTTCCTTCTCATTTGTTTTTTTTTTTCCCCTCTTTTTAAATTGTGGTAAAATACACATAGCATAAAATTTAACATCTTAACCATTGGGGAATAATCTTTAGTAGTAATTATTTCCAAATAAATTTGTGGCTTGTAAACTTTTGAGTCTTTGAATGTCTAAAAGTTTACTTTTCATTTTTCACTTGAGTGAATGGCTGAGTGTGGAGTTCTAAATAATTTTTTACTTGGAACTTCTTTAGCCTTCATTGTTGTGGATGAGAATTCTAATGCCAATTTAATTTTCATTCCTTTGTGGGATATTTTTGTTTCCCTTACTTTGGGAGCTTTTTAGATTTTTCTTTTTATTGTTGACGTTATAAAATTTCACAATGTGTTTTAAATTCAGTTTTCAGTTATTGACATGGATTTTTAAAATGAAAAGTGTTCTAGATTTTTTCATTGTAGAAAAGGATTCTCATTGGCTCTTTCAATCTGAAGAGTAGTTCGTTTCTTTACCTGCTAAAAATGTTCTTTAATGTCTTAAAAAATATGCTTTCTTCTCTTTATTCTTTTTTTTTTTTGAAACCTTAAAATGATTGTTGGAACTTCTAGATATATCTCAGTATCTCTTAACTTCACTTGTACTTTCCTTATTGGTGTTTGGTAATATTCAAATACTTTTCCTTTATATGATCCTTTAATTGGGGCTTTTTATTTATTTGAAGTGAGTATTTTGAGAACAGTGTAGTTACACTATAAGAGTTGTAACTGAATTTGTTGAGAAGATAAATGAAACATAAGTAGCTACTTAAATGCAGGTATGAATTGCGTTTTTACCACTGAGAAATCAGGTAATGATAACTAAATACCACTGGTGGGTTTGTCGGTGAGGCATGCATAGGTCAGTTCTTCAGTTCTGCTTTTGTGTCTCTTGTTTTTGATCTTTTGATTCTTTTGTTTTCTTGATTGTTGTAGAGGCTTTACTGTCTACTTCTATAATTTTCCCTTGGGCAGATAGTGTACTTTGCTATTTTTTCTTTTCCATAGGTCTTTTCTTTTTCTGTTCTGTCTGTTGTCATACTTGCCTTTCCTGTGACTATATGTGGATCACTTGTGTTGATGATGTCCAGCATTGCTATAACAGTTATTGTAGTTCCACAGCTTTTTTGTTATGTGCCCTGTGCATCACTGTGGGGAAGAAGGGCGTAGTACATTGCCTCAAGAAGACCTTGTTATTTTTGGAAGTAGTAGGTACCTGACAGTGATCCACTATTTGTGAAAAACAAACTCCTTCTCCATTATGTTTGATTTTTTTCCATGTTTTTAACCAGCAAACATTTATTGAGTAGTGAAGAAATGCCAGGAAATAAAAGAGGGACTAGGGTCGAAGATGACGTTCTTGCTCAAATCTAAATGTTAAAAGTAGCTAGGTGTTAATCTTTCAAAGGTGTCAGCTTCTTGGCAAAGGTTTTGCCATGCTGTTGCCTTTAACTTTATATCTTTTTTGAATTAATTATATGTAATAAATTTACATTGTCAGTTGCTACTACATGTGTCTAGTTATTCATTTAACATTTGACAGTAGTAATTCTTTAAAAACATTTTGTAGTTTTATTGATAACTAAAAGACATTTTATAATTATCAGTAAAACTTTGTATTAGAAAAGACCTAAGTTTTATGTGGCTTTCTGAATGTTGTCTCAATGATCATTTGAGATTTACTGGTGAATAGAAATTAAGGGAAACTTTTCTTTGGAAATGAGAAACAAATATGGATTTTGCAATATTCTCCAGTATTTTCCAGTTATAATGTTATGATATCAATGTTTAAAATGCACAAATTGAAGAGAAGAAATATATTTTAAGATAATTTTGCCTAATGGTTTCCAAGAAAGCTTTGTTAATAACTGGCATTATTAATAATTGATATATTTTAAGTAGTTAGATATCCTATTTGTGAAAATGAATTCCAAGGGCATTATTTAAAGCAATAATAGAAGATTTAGTTCTTAATATATAAAAGTTCAAATGAAAATGCAGCTGATATAATAAAAATGGAAAAATAAGAAACTTATGGATATGGTATCTCACAAATCTATATTTCTTTCATTATTTTATAGGTTTATTTATATACTCAATGTAAACACTGTTCTTTTCTTGGTAATGAAGCAAGCCAATAATTTTAAAAATGTGATGACTGTTTCTTACAGATTGATTTTTTAAATTCGTACACATTTCAAAAACTATATTCAATATTCTACAACTTGATCTTTCTAAAAGCCAAAAATAAATAAAATAAAATAAAATAAAAAGAATTACTATAATTACCCATAGTTCATACATAGTCTCTATACCATTCATAATTTTAGGAACAATAGTACAGCCTATATAAATAATCTTTCCTGTAATACAGTTTTCCATAAGATAAGAAAAATTAGAATCTATCAGTTTTTGAGTCACTATTAAATACTAAAGAGTGAATTTTCTGTTAATATTTCAGCAATGCATGTCACTTTCTACTCTTGAGCAAAAACAAAACCACCATTATCCTATTACCTTATTTAATAGTGGCCCCGTATGGTTTTGAAGACAATCAGAATAGTCCAATCAAAAATACTGTGGGTTAACTACAATCATAGATAGATGAGAAATATTTCAAACCAAGAAAACTAAGGAGGGGTATGGTAATGTAGGACATATTCAGTTATCTAAGGATCTTTTAAATGAAGTGTTATTTACCATTGTGTACTATTAAAAAATGTAAATTTCCAAAGGAAGACTATTCATGTCAATGAATTATTTATGCCATTCTTGTTTGCAGTATTCTGAGGAACATTTCTGTTTCCAATAGTATGAAAACACTGAGTGGCAGCTAAGTTATTAACACCACACAATGAAATTGCGTCTGCCAGAAATCTACCATTTTTTACCTTTGTTTTTCTTAATCATGTGACTAGAAGACATGCTCCGTGGTGCCTTGCATGTCTGTATCTTCTATGAATAAACAATTCCCAAGACAAAGTGTGCCATTCTTAGCAAAACATCAGTAAAAGTAATTATAGAAAGTCTCAGCCCAATGTAGGATGATCTGATTGTGAATTGAAAATTTAAAACATCATACAGCAATGGCTATGGATATAATGTCTGTCTGTAATATTATAATATCTGTTTATCCTTGGCAGACATCACAGTATTCATAGGCTTTGTTGAGTCTCATAGGTTATAGCTCAATCAAAAAAAAAAAAAGAAAGAAAGAAAAAGAAAAAAGGAAAGAAAAAAAGGTTGAGCTTCAGCAAATGAGTCTTGGAGCAATATTTTAAAGCCCTGAAAATGGGCTGCTAGTGTCCGCGTGAAGCAGAGTATCAGGTTTTCTTGTTCCCATTTGACTTGTCTCTTTGGATGAAACTGAGTTTATTCCGCACATAATAACCAAATACTAGTATCTTCGACCCTTGGGAAGCGCATTGTCCATGACCAGCAGTCCAAATGGAGCCCAGCAGTCTCAGAGAATGGGAAGGTGTCACACTGGATGTCCATGTGCAGAGCACAGAGTTTTTCATTGATGGCCCTCACTAGGCACAAAAAGAATGGCTAACATGGCTCTGCATCACAAACTATCATAAAGGTGGTCTGTAGGTCCTTGGATAAGCTCCCCAAAAGTACTGGCAAAATTCTCAGGAGTCTTTAAGTACCAACTTCATTTTCTTCATGTCATGGTTACCATACCTTTTTTCACTGCTAAGTCAGTTCATTTATCTCCCCTTTGTTCATGATGTATGGTTGATTTGCTTTAAGTAACTGCTGTCTCTTAGGTACTAATTGCAAAACTGTTTACATTAACTATAGATGATCTTTTACTGTCTTTTTTCATGATCATATTTATTTTTCCATTAGCCTACAATTCTGTTTGAATGTATAAGATCATGTAATGTATTTGTTAAATGTTCCTTTATGCAGCTCAAAATTGTTCTGGATTGAGAACCTGTGGACAGTGTTTAGAGCAGCCAGGATGTGGCTGGTGCAATGATCCTAGTAATACTGGAAGAGGACACTGTATCGAAGGATCTTCACGGGGACCAATGAAGCTTGTTGGAATGCACAACAACGAAATGGTTCTTGACACCAATCTTTGCCCCAAAGAAAAGAACTATGAGTGGTCCTTTATCCAGTGTCCAGGTAATAAAAATGTCATGAAAACAATTTCAGTTTCTGCTTGAGTGAACCAAGAATGATTTTTCTTTTATTATAATAAAGATTTGAAAAAGAAAAACAATGAAAATGAGACTCACATTTCAAAGATAAAAACTATTCTTCTCAAGACTGTATCCATTTTTATTGTACAGATGGTATTCTGTTTAGAATCATTAAATAGGGTAAGCACATTCATGGAATATAATGATTAGATTTGGTTTCTTGTGTACTGTTAAGAGGAAAAAATTTTGGCTTCATACCAATTTTCTACCCTATAGCAAAGACCATAATTTTTTATTCATAAAATTATAATATTTTAGAATTCTCAACTAATTCATAGTATCCAGTCAAACTTCATGCTAAGTATGGGAATGTTCTATATAACATCTATGATGGATTCATCTGGCTTCATTTTGAAGCTGCCATTGGTATTCATTGCCATTCAATTTTGCATATCATTTAATTTTTCAGGGATTTTCTTCATAGGAAGTCTGTACTTCTGAATAAAATCAACCTTCTTGAAAAATTAATTTATTCAAATTTTTTTTAGTGCCTCGTATGTACCAAGGAGTGTTTTGGGTGCTAGAGACACATGATTAACAAATTAGACTAAAATTACTGCATTCATGGAGCTTATATTTTAATTGAAATTAATAAACTAGTTATACAAATATGTGAAGTTAGATGGTGATAAGTGCTATTAAATAAATTAATGAAGAAAGAGGGCTATGGCTGCTTGCTATTTAAAATAAGTAACAATTAATAAACGCCTGATGTAGATGAGGAAATGAATCATGGAGATATCTGGTAAAGAGTGTTCTAGAAGAAGTAACAGCCTGACACAAGGATTCGGGTAAGGTATTAATAGTTTATTTGGGAGGTGATCCTAGGAGGCATAAATGAGGGAATTAAAAGAGTTTCAAAGAGAAGAGAGAAAAATCAGTAATATGTGCATTATTAAGCTAGCTATCATGCTAGGAAATTTGGACTCAGACTCATTTGGAACCTATGAAGAACCGTGTAGAATGTTCCTCAGAGTTATCCCACTGAGGGACTGGGAGGCTGGGGCATTTATCCAGTAACTCTCATTTCCCATTGGTTGAGTGATGCCCTTGGGGGAATTAATTTCCTTGTGCTTATGATCCGTACCAGCAAGTCTGATCAATAGTTTTCCCTGGCACCAGTGAAAACCCCGAGGCAGAAAAGTAGAGAGATACTGCAGAACGCACTTTAGATGAGACGCTGACAATATGTAGCACTGAAACCAGATGAACTGAGGCAATGTGGCACGGGCATAGGGTGCAACAATACCTGCTACTAAACCATGAAATAGATGAAAAGCAATAAAAAGGAACAAACTATTGATTCATGCAACAACATGCCTGAATCTTAAATGCACTTTGTGTAGTGGAAGAGCCAGAACCGAAGGCTAAATGTTGTGTTATTTCATGCATAAGACAATCTGAAACAGATGAAACTATGAGGATGGAAAAAAAAATCAGTTATTTTCCAGAAGTAGGGGTACAGATTGATTTCGAGGTGGCATCACAATGGAATTTTTAGGGTATGCAACTGTCTGTATGGTACTGAGGTAGTCGATATATAACTATGCATTTGTCAAAATCTACACTATGTGCTACGAAGAATGAACTTTACTCTTAAAAATTTAAAAAACAGTCAACCAGGATGTTGGGGGAATCCCAGGATGAAATATAAATTGTATCAAATGAATCTAACAGCATTACAAATGCCATAATCTCACCTAAATAAATAAATAAATGGATTAAAATAAAAGAAAAAGAAAAAAAGAGGAACTGACCCAAGTAGCTTTGGAAAACAGTGTTTTGACTGGTTACTCGAAGGCTAAAGAAAAAAAAATTGTACATAAGCAGTATATTCTGGTTGGTAAAATTTTCTGGGTACATTTTCACAATTCGAACAATATTTTATATGTATGCTAGATCTGAGCAAATAAGTAAGTAAGTTGTATTTAATGGGAGCCATGTTTGCCATCGTCAGAGAAAGAAGTTAAAAATAAACAAGGGGTGAAGGCTACAATGAACCTTGTGGGGCTGAGTTAGAATCTGAGATAATAGCATAAATTTATTTTGATTTTAATACAGTTAGCCCTCCCTTTCCAGGGTTCTGTATCCACAGATTCAACCAAACATGGATTGAAAATACAGTATTTGAGAGATGTGAAACACATGGATATGGAGGGCCAACTCTTTTGTATCTGGAGATTCTGCAGATATAAAGACTTTAGGACTTCAGTATCCTTAGATTATGATATCCATGGGGGGTCCTGGAACCAATCCCTTGTGGATACAGAGGAATGGCTATATATACACATAGAAGTAAATACAAATACATGTGTATACATGGGTTAATATACACACATATATTTCCTAGTTCTGCCAAGGAGGCCTAGAAGCTATGGCATCCCAATAGCAATGAACACATCCGATGCACAGATCTTGGTTTCTAAATACCATTCTCCAATGAAAGGAACTCAGTCTCTCTGGAGAAATGACAGACTTCTAGGAAGGCCAGGGAGGATACAAGATGAGTCTAAAGCATTTTGTAGTGCCATAAAATAATAAGTGTTTAAAGAAAAAAAGAGAGAGAGAGAGAGAGAGAGAGAGAGAGAGAGAGAGAAGGGTGGAGTGGTTCCAAGGGGACATAGAGCCAAACGGAAAGTGCTCTCAATGAATCAAATCTGGGCAACAAAATAAATAGTGATTATATTGATTATAACCCAAAGAAGAAAGACATATCTGCCTTTAGACTGATTAAATGATTAAGTAAATAATAAATGGGTGAGAATGTATGAATCTTCCTTATCGAAAAATTCCAAATAAGAAATGTAAAGGGAATGTGGGGAAAAAAATCATCATTAGAACAGTACAGTAATAATTGCTATAGTAATAATTCTTTTAAGAATGCTAAAATTAGTGGGTAAATTTTTAAGGAGAAACAGGACATTTGCATAGCTTCAAAGTATCTTCGAAAACATTCGTTACTGTGGTTGTTTTAACATATGTCCACAAACTCTCTTTTTTCATTTCTTTCCTGAGTTCAATCAATTCTCTTTTCATTTCTTCCTTTTTTGTTTCCATTTCTAGTCTTAATATTTAAATTTATGATTTAAGGTGGTTTTTTAAGCACCCAAATGCTGGTTTGACTATATTTAATTCTGTTTGGAAAGCTGTTTTGCAGTCTTCTGCTTCATGGTTGTATTTTCCAGGGGAATTTTTATTAATTAAGGTGTATTGAATCTGGGTTTCTGTTCTGTTCTTCTAAATAACTCTTTGTGATTCATAATTTTTTCCATTTTTGTAGCATTGGCATAGTTTGTAAGATTTCTAGTTTTATGGTACTCCCTTCTGTCAGAGTAGCAAAATTTTGGTGGTAGAGGTAAGGATCATGTGTCCTCTGAATTTGAGGGTTTGTGTGTGTGTGTGTGTGTGTGTGTGTGTGTGTGTGTGTATTGTAAGAATTTAATTGTTCACTTCATGTATTTATCCCTTAACCACCCAGTTGCCAAAAGCCACCTTTCTTTTTTATTTAACTGTTTTTTTCTCCCCCAAAACTGTACCCAAGACTGCTACTTCAAATTGTACCTACTTTTAAGTCGTTCTCTCAGATGGTTCTCTGGTCTATAAGGACACTGTTTTAGTATTTTCATACTTAGGGTAACTTATGTCAACTTTAGTCTTGAAGCCAACTCTCTTTTTCTATCTTCTTGGTTTATGTTGGTGAGGTGCAATGGGTTGGGAGTGTAAGAGATTACTTCCTTGGATTTATTTTTGTTTTCTCTTTTAACCTAAGGTTATTTTGAAGTTTGGATATTTTCTGTTGCAGGTTATAACGAGGGTGTAATTTTTGAGTAATTTTCTTTTTTTAATTTTTGTTCTTTTTTTCTTTTTTTGCTGTTTTGGAAGACACAGACATAGGCAGCCTCTATTGTTTTCAGTTGCCAAGAAATTTTATCATGTTTCTTCATGCTATGATATGATAAATGGAATTTTAAATAAATCGATTTTCCAATTACTTGTTATTTTATAGAAATTCAATTTGCCTTACTATATTGCTCATGTATACTATGACTTTGGTGAACTCATGTTTTCATTCTAGTAGCTTTTCTTACAGATTTCCTAAGACTTTAAATTGCTTATCCATAAATAGTGTTTTTTTTTTTTTACTTTCAAATCATGCATTGTTTGTTCTTTCCTTATTATACTGGGTAGAAACTATGGTACTATATAAAACAGAATTACTGGAAGTGAACATTAGTCTTAGTTGGAAAGCATTTAGCATTTTACCTTTATATGTGATGCTAGCTGTTGTTTTTCGTTAATGACCTTACCAGCTTTAGGAAGTTCCTTCCCTTTTGTTCCTGGTTAGTTTTTGTTTGTTTGTTTTATTTTTAATCATAAATAGATGTGTAATTTTTCCAAAGGCTTTTTTTCATCTATTGAGATGATTATATAATTGTTGTTTGTTTTAGTTTGTTAATATGATTAATTATATTGATTGATTTTCAAATGCCAAACGAAGCTCACATTCTTGGAATAAACCCCACTTGTTCATGGTATGTTACCCTTTTGCTGTATTGCTGGATTCAGTTTCTTCATATTTTGTTGAGTATTTTTGCATGTAAATCAATGAGATTGTGGTTCTATAGTATTCTTAATGTCTTCCCTTTCTTACTGTCTGATTTGTTAACAGTATAATATCACCTCAAGAGTTGAAAAATTGTTTCTCCTCTTCTGTTTTCTGGAAGAGTTTGTATAGAATTAGTATTGTTTCTTCCTTAAATGTTTGATAGAGTTTACTGAAGAAGTAAACATCTGGGCCTGGAGTTTTCTTTGAAAGAGAGATTTCAACTACAAATTCATTTTTTAAAAAGTAGATATGGGGCTATTCAAGTTTATTAGTTTTTCTTGAATGTGTATGGCAGTTTGTGTCTTTCAAGGAATTTG